AACTTAAAGAAGTCCAGACGCTTTTCTTTGCAAGCTCCTTTGACTACGATGACCTGGATGACTGAGAACCTTCACAGACATAGGCTGTATTTAACTATTTAACTATTCACCACTGTAACATGACAGGAAACAGAAAAAAACATAACATGTCCCTCTTGATAAGGCCTCACTAGGTTGCTGCTCCACAATGTTTCCCACTGATATTACTGCACCGTCCCCTTCCTTTCCGTTTCAAAGCTCAAGAGTATCTACTCTGTGTCTGTAAGCTCATCGTACACTAACACACCATTCAAAAACACTGTTCCAGCAAACATCTACTAAAGATTTGATTTCTCTAATGAGGGATTATGTACGTATCTTGGCTTAATAGAGTGATATACCTCATGTGTGATAGATTGTGTAGATAAAATCAGCAGCATTTCACAATAAACAGTACAATCACGTCGTGGTTTTTAAGTGCACATCTCCTGATTTTGGTATGCAACCTCGGTCAAACAGTGCAAACTCTTCGTACTATTTGTTCTGACTTTTATGGCGCTCCAGATGTTAGGATGCGTGGCGTCTTTCAGAGAAATAAACCTCGACACATCTGACGCACCAGGCAAGCGGCCGCAAATATTAGGAATCGTTTGCAGAACAGTCTGACCGAGGGTGTGACGTGTGCTAAAAGGTGACACACAGTGTAAGCAGGTTCAGACGCTGGTGATATGCTCCGCCCCGTTAGCTGAGGCCTTGTCTTTATCTCCCTCTGTGGACACGCTGCTGTATTGGCAACCAGGAACGATGTCAATCGCGGGTGCCGCCGGCTCGGGCGCCGTGGGTGGCTTCACCTGATTCAGCGCCTTCCTCTCCTTTTTATCCAGCCAGCAAAACGACACCATAAGGAACACGGCGGCTGAGGCAACAACGGCACTGCAGGCAAAAAAAACATGGAAATAGTGGCCCGTTCTGTCAACCAGGATTCCTGGAAATAAAGAAAACATCAACAGTGTCAGCATTTTGACTCATGTTAGCTTCTCGTCAGAGACGTCCAGAAATCCTTGGCGGTTTTTCTTGGCTAAATCTGTTGTACTAATCTTGCTTCAAAGTGCAGTCCTCATAAGCACAAACCTGTGGAAAATCACTGACCCAGAGCTTACATTAGTCGCTTCTGTCAGTCTGCCTCAGGGCAGCTGTGGCTACAACTGTAGCTGCCTCCACCAGTGTGTGAATGTGAGAGTGAATGAATAGTGGTATTGTAAAGCGCTTTGAGGGCCCCGAAAAGCGCTATATAAATGCAATCCATTATTATTATTATTATTATTAGAGGTCAGTGTGATATTTGTTCACAGGCAAGTTCTCTATTCAAATCAGCAAAATATATTCTGACTCTACCAAAAAAAAAGACATCTTTTCAAACTGTGTTTATCTTCCATAACCGTGACCTCGGAAAATCCTTTTCCCGCAGCACATCAGGTCAGATGTACAAGCAAAATAATCCTGCTGTGACTTGTCTCTGTGGTTATGTCACTGTTCAGCTGGAGAAGCAGCCAAATAAACAGTCTAAGCATAACTGTCATCTGAGACGGAAGCAGCCCTGAGAGGGAGAGGAAGCCTCTGCCCTTTTCTCACTCTGCTGCAGCTCGAGCTCGCTTCTCCACTGAGAAGAACAAACTGTTTTTCTCTCTGTGTACTAGCTAAACGGCCTCAACGCCCTGCAGTGCCGCCTCCTCCTTCATTTCAGCCGTTCACATAACACACATGTGAAAACATGTGCACTGAAGTGTATGCAATCACACATGAAGGCTTTACTTTTTTGTTTTTTTATAGGTTGGAGCAGATAAAAGGCAAAGATGAGTATGGAGCAGGGATTTAGACGGAGCTGGATTAATATTGACTTGCTGGCTTTTAAACTGACTTATCTACAGCTACAAAGCTCTGCCACTGATCAATAGAGGTCAGCGCACTGTAACTTGAGAAGAAACATGAGGATAGATGAAAAAATAACAATAAAGAAACAACCTGGTGCAAAAAAACGGATGAAAATTCAGCAAAGATTCACAAACTATCATAAGTTTGAGTTTGCGATCTTTTGGCCTCCACTTTTATTTTGAAAGTATTTCTGACGCGAGTTTAACTAATTAGAGAGGCAAGTTTTCAGTACAGTGCTCTTTTAGCCTGGCTTGATCTCAAGCTGAACTGTTAACCTGGTCTGGAGTTGTGGTTTAAAATCATCGGCAAACTACGAATGACTAATGCTTTTCCACAGCACCTGTGTGAGTGGAGCACCTGTGTTGCCCATCATATATTTTATATTTTTTACAGATCTTCATCCTCTGATAATTTCTCTGACTGAAGTAGGCGGCGCTGAATCGGTCCATTTAGTGAAAGGAAACAGCTAAATGATGCCTGAATTACAAACTTTTATGTGAATATAGAGAGTGAAGCAGTCAGCATGATAATCGCTCGTTCTTACGGGAGTTTTATTTTTTGTCAAATCAGCTTCTGCCAGGAAAGCCTGGCTATGTTGAATTTGCTTCACCCCTCAGATCGGGCGTGTTTGTGGTGTTTTTGGCTCTTGTGTCTGGTTTCTCCACCTTTTCTAGTCTGAGTGTGCTTATCTAATCTTATGTTACCTTTGTTAGAGTTTCTCTTTATGCTTCTGCCGTTACCCAGCCTCATTGTGATGCTTGGGTCATTTCCCGTTTGGATTGTTTCCATGCCTGTATTGAGCAACGCATTTACTTCATCAAACACACCTTTTGTTGTTACACCTGCCCTGTCTGAACTATGATACTGGTTACCTGGAAATAACTGAGCCTGCTTAACCTCCTAGGACCTGGCGTCCACATATGTGGACATCACATTTTGGGTTATTTAGACCAAAATACTCAATTTTGCTCTACAAGGGCCTGATATCCACTTACGAGGACATTATACTGCTACTGTTCTATCGAAATTTTAAACGAATATCCTCATATGTGGATCTCATTTTTCATAAAAACAAAAATAAGGTAAAAAAAAATCTGGTAATTCTTTGTTTTTACATTCATCGGGCCCCAATATGCCAGAATATCAAGACAAATTAAAAATGCATGCCGTGGAAGAGTTCGGGTCTTAGGAGGTTAAGACCAACTGATTTTTATACCACATTTTCCAGACAGACCAGATTCAGATTTCGTCATGTGTTGCATCTAACCATAACAGTTTCATACAAGGAAGGTCACATTTAGGCCACTGTTGAGCGGCCCACTGTTGAGCGGCCCACTGTTGAGTGCTCAGTTTTAAAAAGATAAGTTTGATTTTGTAGCCCTGTTGGTCTTTTTTTCCCTCAAAATCCATTTTAAACTAAGCAATAACTTTAAGTGACGTGAAGTCCTGCGAAAGGCCAAAGTGGGTATGAAAGGATAACTTTTAAGTCACTGAAGATAAACTTCTATAGAAAGTATTTTTCCCCTTTTATGGCAACTTGTAAACAGTCATGCATTTCTGACATTGCTCCATCACTCAGACTCTTACTGGTAAAGGTCTCAAGTTGTTATGAGGCTCCAGCAGCCAAACAAAAAGGTTAATTGTGGTGTCGGAGTCCTTCCTTTTGTTTGTCTGGAATATATACTACACAAAGTTCACAGTAACACAAAGAGGAAATACTTTCTGTCTACCTGAGACCATAAATTAGCTTCAGTCTGAAGGTTTAGTTGTATTAAGAGGGCTTTGGATTTTCTCCCCATCCCTTACACTATGGTGCTCTTAGATGGAATCTCCTTAGGGCCAGTATAAACCTGAGCAAACCTGTTCCAGAGTTCATGAGGTTGCCTTGAAGTCCCTGAAAAAATTTAAACCAATCCTTTAAGCAGCTCTTTAGCTGTTCCCCCAGTCCCATACATCATGCAGAATCTAAGCCAGTGATGCAGAAAACATGAAGAGAGACTACAGGCAAAAATTATTTTGCATATTTATACCTCCAGGGTTTTTACTGGCTTTATGGTTATGGTTTCATGGGATAAAAAAGTGTGACCTACATTCTCTTCACATCTCTCACTCATGATAATATCTATATTTCCTTTACCTGCCAGTGGAGGCCCAATGAGCAGCGTGACACTCTCCATGACAGCAAGGAGGCCAAGGGCTGAGGGAAAGCAGCTCATCTCCACTACATCCATGAGGACAGTAAACATCAGGGAGCCCACCACGCTCATGGAAAGCCCGTAGATCACCACGTAAGCCAGCAGTACATGGAAGCTGGGCCCGATGCAGCAGATGCTGTTACTCAGCCCATTGACAAGCAAAGCTGCTGAAAACACGTAAACGTGTCGCCCTTTGAACCATGGCATGTTAAAGACGATGCCAAACGGTGGCCGCACCACGATGTTGACGATCCCCAGGATGGACAGCAGGTACGCAGCCTGACTCGGCTCCATGTCATTTGCTGTGGCGTAGGGAACCAGATACACCAGAGGTACCACAAACCCGAGCATCGTCCACGTGATGCCGATGGAGTACACGCGGTAGCGCAAGTTATTGCAGAACTGATTGAAGGCCATGTGTTTGCTCAGGAAAGCCAACATGGAGCTCCAAATCGTCCTCACCCTCCCTTTTTTCTTGCTGTCACTATTCTCATCTGGCGGAGGAGGTCCGTGGTTCATCAGCGGCTGGCCACGATGCCTTTTGGGCTGGAGGGGCCTCATCACAGCTCCACACACACAGCAGTTCAGCAGGACGGCCCCCAGAATGAGAAAACTTCCCCTCCAACCGTACTCTATGTGGAGGTAGTTTCCCAGGACAGGCAGAGTGCACAGACCCAAGGCGGTGCCCGTGGAGGACATGGCGTTGGCAAATACACGGCGACGCACAAAGTAGTGTCCCAGGATTGTCACAGCTGGTTGGAAGCTGAAGCAGAAACCAAGACCTGAAACAATGAAAGACGAGTGACATTTTTATTATCAGCGACAGTGCTAATGGATTATAAAGTATAAATATAGAAAAGTTCTATTATGTGTAATCTATCCTGAGTAACACTACTTTAAATGTTTTTTGCTAATGCTTTTATTTTTATTCTATTATTTTTTATTATTCTAAATTTGTCAGACCTCCCTTCAAGGTAACCTCCTTGTGCACCTCTGGACAACAGCTGGTAGAAGTCATGTACTGACCATTGTGAGACCATGTGCAGTGATTTAACTGCAAACCTCAAACTAAAACATTTAGCTTTCATTTTTAGGATTAGGGCACATGATGAGAACTTATACTCCAGCTATGACAAAGTCTGAAGTGTAGTTCATTGGGACAAAAACATGACCAGGAACATGGTTACATGGGTAACCTCGGTTCTATGAAACCATATTCCACTATGGAAAGCATGTTTTATCTTAGACCATCTATTTAGTTTAAGACAAATACTTTCAGAGATGGTCCACCAACCTCTTATATCATATTCTGGCCCCAGACAAGTCACTCAACATCTGTGCTACTATACAGATCTGACTTACTGCGAATTCGCCCACTCCCAGAAAATTAAATCATGACGAAAGGTTTATATTTTGAAACACTTGCAGATGCATAAGTCAAAGAGGAAAGACATGGAAGTAGTCCAGAGGTACCTTGGGTAAGGCCTCTCCTTTTATGCGGGGAGTACCAATGATAACATTTTAAAAAATAAGAGAAAGCAGTAAAATTTTTGTATCTGTATCTTTATGAGTTTACCACAAAAATGAACAGCCACAACTATGAAAATTAGACCAAGGCTGTTATGAAGTGAAATTAGAGTTTTAACTTCTTTTGAATGTCTGTATGTCAAATTTAAGTGATACAAAAAGATGTAATGATGCATTTACAGTTGTCCAAAATCTGTCTGCTTTGGTCTACAACAACCAAACAAATATTCAGCACAGCTGAACTCTACCTGTGCCTGCCCTTTGATGCTTGGCAGGTAGCTGTGTGTACCCATGGCAATGAAATGTGTGCTGGGATAATAAATCTACTGAGTGCTTGCTGACCTGTAATGACCCCGGTGGTGATGTAAAGCTCAGTGATTGACTGGGTAAATGAGCTGGCAGCCATTCCAAGCCCGCTCAGGACCCCTCCCAACATGATTGTCGCTCGGCAGCCAAGTTTCTCCACCAACATGCTACAAAAGGGACCTGTGGATCAAATTTAATGCTCTTAGTTTAATACCAGAGCCCGAGTGGGCAAAGGCCTTAATCCTCCAGCACATTTCACATAACTTGTAATCTGCACCGGCTGGATGACCTTCAAAAGAACCGAACATATGACTGAAAATATGTCTGCTCTTTCATTTACCCTGTGCACAAGATGTTTGACTGACACATCTGTTTCTTACTCATCCCACTGCCAGTGAGATTAGATTTCATCTAACACTACCTTTTGTGTGTAGATTTCTCCACCTCTAACACATCATCCTGACTCACCTGCCTGCCATGAAAAAAATCTCACTGTGTGTACTTGAAAGCTTGAGCAAATACAGCAGTGTAGACTGTTTAAAGGTCACTAACAGGGATGTCAAATTTAACACGGCCTATCTCTGTTGTTAAACAGCAGATCTGCTAGATATTAATGGGGGAAAATCACTGAAGTAACATGTTTAAAACTTCAGTTTTTGCGCCATTAAAATTTTTTTTAATCACGCTATTCTTTATCAGAATCTTTTAGACTGTGTTTATTCTAAAGTTACAGTTTTAATAACTCACGAATCACTTCTTAAGCTCACAAATCAAGCCTGGGACAAGGCTCCCTCGTGCAATTTACTGGAGATAAACCTAAGATTATTGTCATATTTGTGTCAGATCATGATAATTTCTAAGATTAAAGCATTCCTGTCTCCAAAATTCATAAGAACTGTGTCCAAAACTGACTGTAACGGCCTATACTCCTGTCTCCGAGCCTGATGGTGGCCTCCTTTACTTGCGCAACACCTCTCTGGACCTCACACTGAGCATTTCAGTAAAAAGCTACCGAACCTTTGAACTTTCAGATCTTTCAGGCCTGTCACTACTTGTCAACCAACTGTCCAATTAGTCTGAGCCTCTAAAAAAGCTAAAAGTCTGCACAAGTCACATCTTGACTGTTTGAATAGAAATGGATGCGAAACTACAAAACAACTATCATTGTCTACATCTTAGACCAAAACATACATTTACCTCTGGTTTGTTCAGAGCAGCATTAAAGGATGAGTCTGACATTACTGCATAACATCCTCATCATAAACCTTAAAAAATAAACTTAAAGTGCTGCTGTGTTAAAGCTTTCCCAAGCCCATATTTTTCTGATGTGTATCAAATGGCATTTTTATGCTCTAGTTCTGCTTTTACATTTCATAAATAACATAAAAGCTAATTTCCTCTTCATCAAAAGCTCCTGTATTGTTGATCTCGTTGTTATCGGTCAATCTAATATTGCCACATACAACAATTATATATCTGTATGGGTTTTTTTAAGATTCATTATAAATCCCGATTATTTTGACTATCTTATATATTATGTTCATTTTACTATCCCCCCCGTAAAAGGGATGTTACGTTCTGTGTCTGCGTTTTGTTCAATGCATGTCGCCTGTTCATACTTAACAGTCATCGTGACGTAATGTTGCTCGAGTAAACAGTAAACATGTGAGGACTTTAAATGGCCATTATGAAGGGTTTTTGCTAATAGTGTGCTGTATTTTCAGAAAATGGAAGAAGAAGTTTGAAGGAGAGGAACTTAAGTTGCATAGGAGTGCACTTAAACAGGCAGTCACCAGTTGTTCAGGTGTTGTAGGCCACAGGCTGCTTCTGATCAAACGCTCGCATATAATTGCATTTTATACTGAATGTGTGAACTCTTCCCTCATCTCAAATAAAAACTATGATGCTTATTACTTTTTTTTTGATAAATCTTGTTGAAATTTATTTGGGAGTGAAGAAATTGTAAAGAGGAGGAACTTTATCCAACTATTGCGATAACACAGAGATAAACCATGGGCTGATTTCCACTATTGTTTTATTCTAGCATTTTAAATATTGACAGTTCAAAACTTATAAGACAGATAAGAAGTTGCACTATGTGCACCCGCTCATCACATAAAACTTATTTCTAATCTTTCTGATAAAGAAAGGACTCTTGGACATAGATAAAGGATCATAATCCTTCCAACTTGTGTTTCCAGGGGTTAAATCTCCAAACTAATCTCTGTTTTTGGATGGATTTAAAAGGAAGCCAACAGAATAAGAATGATAGTGTGACGCCTTCTTGTCATAAATCTACAATCTGCGGATATGAAGATTATGAAGATATGAAGATCAGAAATAAAAAAAAAAGTGCTATAATTTGGTCCCTGATTTTAGTCTCTGTCTCTCAGTTTTGGCCCCTGTGGATGGATTCCTCCACCTAACAGCTGTGGGTTGATTTGTTTTATATCCAATCCATCTGTATACGGGATTAGAGATGATATTTACCGTCTTCTATAGTTTTACAATGTCGTACTCATAGTAAGTCTACTTTGGATGGATACAACATTATGGCTTATTACCAACATCCCTATGGAGAATATGACTGAGATTTATACTTCTAGTACCTCACTGTTGACTTTTTGTTGGACCTCTCTGACCCGTTTGGCCCGGGGGTGCAAAAAATAAGTCAATAATAAATAATAAATAATAAATATAAATAATAAATATAATAAATAATAAGTAATATAGTAAATAATAAGTCAACAGTAATATCTTCTGAAAGTCAGGAAACATTAGACCTTAGATAATCATGCCAGACTAAGTACGTCAGTTTAGTTTTGTTTAACTGCTATTAAAAGTGACAATTTATTGCTAAATCAGCTATTTTAAACTAATCTAATAAATCTGAAAGTTTTGATTTATGATAGGATGAGCTTCTTTTGAGTTTTACTTTTCATCAGCACAGGAATGAAGACTTCAGAAGGAAAATAGCCGCTCTAAGGTTGGCATTATTTCTTCTGTGAATGAAACACTTAAGGCTGTGGGAAATGACAGGACTGCAGCTTCTCATGGAATAACCTTCTTTAAATCAACATCACACAGCAAGACAGGTTAAAGCATCCTCAGTTTCTCTCTCTATCTGGTTTCATACTTTCCCTGAACAATAACAGCAGCTGCAAACTAAAACTACCCTCAGGCCAGGAGGCATTAAAGGGCAACTTCAGTAGTATGGTAAATTCTAGTTATTATTCTCTTAAATTAAACTTGGATCTGGTTTATTTCCTGGTCTTCTAGCTTTACCTCCTGCATGAAGCGCTGACGTCATGATGGAGGGCACCCAGGAGGTTTCGCTGTTGGTTGCGTGGAACTCATTCTGCAAGTCAGTGTAGAAGATTCCCACGCAGGAGGGAAATGCCAGTGTCAAAGCCAGGACAAGTATGGTGGCAACCAGCACCATCCAGCCCCAGCCGCCATCTGGAGCTTCGACTGCTCCTGTTACAGCCACGGATACTCGGCGCCCTTCTTCCTGTCCCCTCTCCTCCAATTCACAATCATCGGCCTCCTGGATTTTCTCATGGTCCATACCGTTGGCCTGCTGGAAAACATTGGAGGCCTCCGAGTGGAGGATGCGATCACTTGTCCCGCTGATTCCATTTCTCTGAGTCATTTTCTGCTTGGCAGTTCAGGCAAGGCTCCTGTGTTAGTTCTGGAGGGTGTGTGATTGCGCTTGCTGTCCATGTCACTGAAACTGCTGTAACCTTTATAGACCCTAATATCAAAAAAAGCAAACAACATGTCAGGTATAATCCTGAGTGGTTTTCATTAGAAGTAATGTTAAACTTTGACACTAGTTGGACTATCTAAATAACCGACAGACATACTGTGCTGATCTCCATGTGATTTAAACCAGAGCCCAACTGATACATCATGTTCAAGCTCGATACCTATATTTGGTGTTTTATAAATCTGATACCTGTATTTTTTTTATCTTACTAAAATAATGTGATAATGCATTTAATAATCAATTAATTTTACTATCACAACAAGTTGTGGATTACACCTTTATGTTTAGCCTAACTTGACTCGGCTGATTTCTTAAACACCTCAACAGGGAGATGCTCATATTTCTTACTTTTAAAATTTTCATTTATCAGCCAACAAACAAAAATTATTTGCCGATACTGATTTATGGGTGTCCAAAATATCTATTAGGCTTTGATTTAAATGATTTTAACAAACAGCACCTTTTACACCTTGCTAACTAAGCTAGCTAACATTATCTGATAACTTCAGCACTCCACCCTAGAGCTTAATTGCGGTCACTTTGGTTAATAACAAAAAACAATAAAAATGCAGTCCACACTTTATAGTAGCTCCAACCATGTTTTAAACAAAGTCTTAAGAGTTTAAAGTGAAATGACAGGAAAGATTAAAAAATATGGCATTTATGTTCACCTCAGGATAAAGTCCAAGCAATATTAATACATGTTAGCATGCTAACAAGCTAAACAAAAAATAAAACATTCAAACATTAAACAGGTCTAATATTGAATATCATTCTGCAAAATGCTATACTGTACTATACTTACGAGATAACAAAGCTATTTAATTAGATGACAAGTCAAAACCTGAAACAGTAGTCAAAATAAATAAATGAAGTCTTGTTTGTTAATAGCCTCTCAGCTAAAAAGCTAAGCATCTTTACTGACTTTGTTCTAACAAGCTAACCCTCTTTGTTATGTTTGTATTAGCATGCTGACGAGCATCCTAGCAAGCTAAGGTGCTTCTTTCAGTTGGTGGTTTAAACATACTGAATTTAATTAATAGCCCTATTATCATGGTAACCACCATGCTAGCAGGCTAAGCGGCTTCATTAAGATCCCTTTATAAAGTTAAACTTCATTACAGGACACATGGGCATGTTTACAAACATCAAACAAACAACTTTAGCCTTGGTAAAGTTTTAACAAAGGGTTTTGAGGTTGTTCTTGTTCATCGCATTTTAACTGAACACTGTTCCAGAGGTTTTTAAAGTTCAGCCAAGTCATCTTTATTTCTAAAACAGCAACACTGACCAAAGTGGGGAACATAGAAATAAAGATACATGAGAATAAAAAAGAAAATATTAAAAACAGAATTAAAATACCAACACAAAATAAAAACAAAATGCCAATTAAATCTCATCAATATTAGTGCTTTTAAATCTTAATTGAACCCATATTTACTTCAAACCACTGTTGAAAAGGTACGAAGCCCCGCAGGGGACATGGGAGAAAAAAAAATTAAGACAGACTTTTTCATACATCTCCGAAAAAGTGTTCCGACGTTTTCGGAGATGTATGAAACTTTTGCAAGATCTCGCAAAAGTTTTGCGAGATCACAAAACTGAGTAAAGAAAAAGGTTTTAATTTCAAGTTTTGAACAGAAAACCGACAGGGCTGTTCAACAGACCACTGGGCAAACAATTATTACATAAAGAAAAAACAGTCAAGAGTAAAAGCTAAAGGTTAACTAAGGGAAGCTGGCAGCACACAAAATAAAAGCTAGGGGTTAACTAAGGCAAGCCAGCATCACAAAACTCTAATGAAACAAAGTTCAGCTGGTTTAGCAAACAAAGAGCAACACAGCAAACAGTTACAACAAACAACGTTCAAGTGTGAGGCAACGAGGAGGACACTGCATGTCACTTCAGAGCAGCAGTTCCCCATAGTGTGGAGGCTCTTCAGCCTTTTATACTCCCAGGTGCAGACAATCAGCCAGTAAATTGGTCTGGGAGTGGTCATGGGATCTCCAGGCAGCCAATCGTCCGCGAGGTCTGGCACACTGTGATCTGCATAAAAGAAGGCTGGCACAGGACTCCCAGCAGCCAATCCTCCACGAGTCCTAGCACACTTGGATTTGCATAAACAAAAAGGCAGTCTCACTCCCTCCAAGGCCCCGGGCGAGATCTCGCAAACAAACTCTTGCAAAAGTTTCATACATCTCCGAAAACGTCGGAGCACTTTTACAAATATGTGATGTCTTGTAAACCGAGCAGATATCTGACGTTTACACAACTACATTCACGCCTCAAAATATCTTAAAAGTGTATGTTGTGACCCAGAAAGAGTAATATTACAACTAAGTAGCTGCCGCCATTGTTGGAATTCAACTTTTGCGAGATCTCGCAAAAGTTTTGCGAGATCCCGAGTTTGTTTTGCAAGATCTCGCAAAAGTCCGTCTTAACTTTTTTTCCCTCCCATGTCCCCTGCGGGGCTCCGTAAAAAGGTAAACTGTCTGCTGTAATTTTATTCACTTTGCTCTGACCCTGAAGGACTCACAAAATGCCAGCAGAGCCAAGGTTATAAACACAAGGAAATCAGACAATGACTCTTTATTAAAACAGATAATCGGTTACGGAAAACCAGGGGAATGTCCGAGTTATAATAATCTCACTGGCTGGAATCAAGGTTTGTACATCCTGAAATAAAGGAAATTAAACTTGGCAACGCATACCAGCCGACAGACGGGTGACTGTTGTGTTGCCACAATCATTAAGAATGATTTAGCTGCAGTCATGAATCATCCCATGATTTCTCCTGTGTGCAGAATGAAAGCCCCCACGGGACTACAGCGTCTACATTTCCAGTTAAAGGCCTTCACTTATTGCATTTCAAAATAAGTTTAGACTGTGAGAGCACTGACAAAAGACGGGTCAAAAAGGTTCAGGGACAAACGTGGCATGGAAAGGGAGACTTAAGTTTACACTAACATGAACTCACGCAAACCTTTGAATGAATAGCCCTATTTTACTGTAAGTACACTAGCAAAACATTTCCCAAAGATACAATTTCCAGATGTGTCAACTACAAAGCAGAGAAATATCTTCACTGATTGTATTCCCAACTCATGTGGACACAATTTTGCACATTTACAGTACTGCAACTATAACTTTAAGTTTTAAGTGGATGTTGTTAACTAAAGGCAGGGGTGTCAATCATTAACTAAAATGAGTTTGACATCCCTGCATCAACGGCATCGAAAGTCATCACCCTCTAGTTACACTCTCTTTAATAAGCCATGATAACTAGCCTAACCACCAGTGTGCTATGCAAACAGAAATTTGCACATTACAACCACTTACCATTGAAGCTGGTAACTAGGGGTAGGTTTTGGTAATAGATTTATCGATTAAAATCCTGAATCAATTTTTTAATATAAATTTATTTTGCCCGAAATGCCAGAATCTCAGGTGAAACCTCACAAAATTTTGACAACCACCAATCAGCTAAAACAGTAAATGAGAGCAGGAACTGCACAAAGACGTAAACACAAAGCGCAGAGCCGTGGATCATAATCAGTGAGATGTCGCCTTTCTCACCCGACGGCAGGGACACAGTTGGGGCTGAAAGCCGACAGCTCGCTGATTCTGATGTTTCGGCGGCTCCGCGCTTTGTGTTTACGTCATTTTTTCGGTGATTCTAAAGCTGTTAGTTTTATCTCTCTCCAAACAATATTGACTGAACCAGCAGCAAAAGAAGATCCAAACTACGCTTCACATAAACATCGTCATGAATTCACTCTGACTTTTGCTGTTTTGCTTCTACCACGATAAAATCACACTTCATGCACAGCTCTCTCTCTCTCACACACACACACACACACTACACTTCAAGAACAGTTTCCTGTCTAAAAATCTGTTTTCTGCATTATTTGCTTGCTTGTTACGCACAAGTCTACCATAGTTTACAGCGCGGTCGGCCGCTGTTTTTTTTCCCTTTTACTTACTTCCGAAAAGAAAACCTAATTTCTGCTGTTCAATACTGAACAAATTTTAACTTTTTAAAATTATGCAAAATGCAAAACGCTTAGCCGTGTCGCTAATAAAACCGCTGTAACTTCAGAGGTAACGTTCATATGTTGATTAATGGTTTTCTTTTGTTTTTGATGTACTGCAGAATACTTTTTATAAAATCCCAGGCCAGGAAAATCACCTTCATGTTTTTCTGTGTTTTATCTTCAGCTGCTTTGACACAAAGGCATCTGCTGTGATGCTCACACCTTTGATAAAGTCTTGCGAGTGTCAGCTTCCTTTTTATAGATACAAAAATATGTAAATGTACTGATCTGAATTATAATATTTCTGACTGAGGCAAAATTTCGCAGATTTAAATCGAATCAATTGAATTGAATCGTGGATCGAATCGATTCGGGACCTTGTGAATCTGAATCGAATCGATTCTAGAAATCAGTGACGATACCCAGCCCTACTGGTAACCCTGATCAGCTTGTTATAATGCCCAGACCACCCACCTAAGCATTATTCCAGACCTTGCACCCCTTAAGAATAACATTAAATGTTGCTTAGCCACCTTCTGTGAAGGTAAAGACTAAAGGGTTTGTTGAGACCCTTCTAACCCCTTCACATAACTGTAAAACAACAGGACATATACACTCATACAGTTGCAACTCAATCACAAGCCAGAAAAAGGTTTATTCTCCTTTGTCACTCTAATGTGGACAATGTTTTAAAAAGTGAACATTTTGTTTTATTCGGTGACACCTGAAATGTTTTTTCCATTGGGTAAATGATCACTTTGAAAGAAAGAATTGTAGCAAAATAGCTAAACTTAGCTGTATTCACATTACAGCTAAGTTACAATGTTCAATTAATGTTACAATGGTCCATTAATGTAGATATCTAATCTGCCAATCAGTTAACAGTGTGTTTCTGGATAAGTCAGAAAACTTTAGTGGAGCATGCCCTCCACTCGAATTTTCCACTAGTAAAGAGACCAGCAGACCAACATATAGTTAGCACACATAGTTAGCATTCCAAGATGGCAGCACTGAACGTAAACAGTGTAAACAGTAACAAAACTGTTAACTCTGAATCTGTACAGCCATTGTTGTGTATTTTTGACTTACTAAACAAGCCATATGCAGAGCACTGACCAGGCTCTATCTGTGAATTTGATTTTTAAGTGCAAAAAAATAATTATTATGCTATAATACTACGACTGATAACTGAATGGCTCTACCTTGCTTTGCTTTATCTGGAAGTTTCCTGAAACTTGGGAGTGGCGTCACTCCCAAGTTCCAATAACCAAGTTCCGAGGTATCTGGAATGTGGCAATAGGAATGTAGATAAGGTCAAGGCAAACCACTGAAGTTCAAACTGGGCATCAGAATGGCGAAGAAAAGTGATTTATGTGCTGGAATTTTCAAGAGGACCATCTGCAGGTTTACAAATAATTATCCCAAAAAGAGAAAATAGCCAGTGAGTGGTACTTCTCTGGGAGAATTTGCCCTGTTGTCACGCTTGCTAGGGAAGAAAGTGAGGCTCAGTTTGAGGTCTCAAACTGGTTTCTTGAACATTACAAGGACTTCACCGTACCCTGAGGCTCCCCATTGTCACCAGATCTCAATAGGAAAACGCACCTTTGGGGTGTGGTGAAACAGGAAAGTTGCATCAGAGAGCCGACAAATCTGCAGCGACCGTGTGATGCTATCGAGTCAACATGAACCGACATCTCTGAGGAATGTTTGCAGCACCTTGTCAAATCTCGTGTCTGAGGTTAAAACGGGTTTAATAACAACTATTACTGATGAAGTTGCCACTGATTTACCTTAGTCAAAAATAACTTTGGTGGTAGCTTTCTGACTTCTGGACTATAACAAAACCTTAAACTAAATAACTGACTCTGACAGTTAGACATTTGATTTATTGTTAATATCACTTTCACGGTTAGCACACAGCGGTTCCTTTTTTTTTAACCCAGGAAGCTACATCGCTCTTTTAGAGTTCAGTACTATTGTACTTTGGTTTTTAGCTTTGTGACGCAGAGCTAGGCATGCTTTAAACAAAGCAGCTGAACAACTATGCAAAACCGGCGTCTATGCTGCTTTTGTTTGAGTAGTGAGTAGTGAGGTCACCCACAGGGAAATTCAGAGCTTCTGTCACTTAATTTATGATGAAAATGTATGTCAAGAAAAACAAAAATCAGACCCCAGGGAACAATTTAACACACATGTGTTGTTGTTTGTTTTTATTATGAGGGAGACATGCTTCAGCTCCTTACATCTCCTCCTGTGTTTTCCCCTATAAAGTGTACATGTCTCTCTTTCTGAGTGGGTG